GTCCCAGATGGATCAGGGTCACTTAACTTGAAGGAAACCCTCATTGGCTGGTTGTTGATGACAGATCAGAGCGACGAGATGGAGGATAACTCCAGGCCTCATCCCATCATTTGCAGGTTGGTGTTTTGTTTTTAATTGTTTTATTTTTTTATGTCGTATTGTTTCCTTCCTCACTTTTATTGTTTAGTCCTCTTAAGTTTTTATTCAATTTTGGTTTTCCACAGCGATTTTCCTCACAATCTAATAGCAAACATCCTGGTCTCCTTGACCGTGAAAGACACCTGTGCTGGCCTGAATTTCCTTCTCGGTTCTGAGGGAGTAGAGGGGTGAGAAGAAACGTGCTCTCACATGAGCAAGGACTGGAAAATTTCTTTTTTCGTAAATTCAGTTTTCCAGTTTCAATTCAATTCTTCTTTCTTTTAGTGCTTTTTCTCAAGAGTGCACATCCCTCGGTGTTAATGAAGATTTGGACAAGATTGAGAGATTGTACTTGCAATTTAGCTTTAACACGGAGTTGGCACAAAGCAGAGGATCTGACAAGAAGTCCAAGGTGACGTCAGCTAATGGGCACTTCACGGCCATCGGCGGTCTCAAAAAGAAGTTGGAGCAGTCTCTTCTTTGTGTCGCCGACAACCTTCTTAACTGTTCCTTTCCTAACGTGAGTTTTGAAACTGCACTTACTCATGTTTGTGTGCAGTCATCATGGTAGAACTTCAACACTGATTGACCTTCCACAGAGTCAGTCCACAACCCCAGAGTGCCTGTTGCGCTGTTTAAGCCTGCTGACGGGTGTTCAAGCAGGTTATGTCTCCACAGGTTGTCTCACTGAGGATGAGGCAGAGCGCTCCCAGCTATTCACGAAAGCTAAGGTGATCATTCAAAGAGTTTCAGGTTTAAGTGATCATTAATTGCTTGAGTTTTGTGTCTTATGTCTTGTTTCAAGACCCTGGCTCAGGAGTTAAGTGGATTTGTGTCGAGCGTGAAAGTGAAGATGAGTGAAGAATTAACCATGACCACACTGAGGTCTGTCATTAGGCTATGCACTATTACTGCCACAACAAAAAACAAGGTGAATTATATTTTTATTTTATTTTTTATGTTGACCGTTTTAATATTCATTTGTACTAATTGCAACTTCATCTTCTTTCAATAGGAAAATATTTGCACATTCTCCTCTCGTCTTTTCATAATGACTCTCCCGGCGAGTTTTATCACAGAGCTGGCAGAGATTTACAAAATTATGGTAAAAAGTCAACCTTCCTTTAAAATTAAAGTGCTTCGCAGAGTTTTGCATGTAAAGCAGTTATTCTATTAAAATCCTCATGTCCATATCCCCACCCCCATATCTTCAGCTTAGCAGCGTTTCTCCGAGAGCTTCAGTTGTGGATAAAGACGAACCTACGGATAATGACTGGGAAATGACCAGAACCCAGCATGGAGACGACCATCCTCTATTCGATGATGAGGAGTTCCACAGTGGGACTCAGAGAGCAAGGGGAGGAGACAGCAATGAAATGTCAAGTGGACCAGGTAAGAGGGATTCTCCACAGTTACCCACATTCAGTTACCTACATTCATTGTAGAAAAAAATGGTTTAATTCCACTCAGCAGCATTAACCTTATTATTCATACCATTAGCCCATGCTCTAAATGGGTTTAAAAGCTCAAACCAAAATTAAACACTGTCCTTTCTGTAGGTGCAAAAAGCCTGTTAGCTGATGAGCATTTAGTCCACCAGGATCTTGCTCTCCTCGAAATCTTGGAGTTCTTGTGTAAGTGCGGCTCAGTTCAGCCCGTCCATGGCCAACTTTATAAACCTCAGGAGGTACGACGCAGGCTCTTACTGCTGGTGGAGCAAATTGACCCTAGCAAAGCCCTGCATGTCAACATGGTAGGTATCATAAGGCTGTGGACATTCAACTTTCAACGTTTTTGAGCACAAGCACTCGAAGAAAAAAAGTGTCTCTTCTCTTTATAGTATCTTGTCCTGTTAAAGAAGCTTCCGACTGAGGACTCCCTCACTCCCGAGGAGTTTGACTCTCTGCTTCGTCCTCTGGCGTAGGGAAATGTTTTTGCCTTTATTTGCTGCGTTCTTGTTCTTAAAGTTAGTTGTGTTAGCAAAACATAAAACTGAAAACCGATGCCATGATTTCGCATGTATTCTAAATAATTCGCTTTGCTCTCTTCACAGGGACTTGTGTTCTCTGTATCGTCAGGATCAGGAGATGTGTGTTGCACTTCTTGTGGCTTTATTGCCCTCCATCAGGAGCTTGGGGCGAACCCACGATATGCAATTGGAGATGAAGCATGTGCAGGGCTCCCTGCTACAAGTGCTGTCAGGGTTCTGGTCTGTAGCATTGTGAAGATTTGATCGATAGGTGGTCTGAAACACACAATGTTTATACCGGTGTTCTGTTTTAGTTACCTGAGCCAAACGGGGAAATGCACAGCCACTGTCCGAGTTGCTTTGGTGCAATGTCTGGTTGCGCTACTGGAGGTAAGCCTTTAGAATGTATGGTAGTTTTGCTACAGGTTATGATCCTTACAAGTCAGTGTTAGATGATAGACTGCAAGACAGTTCATTCTGTTTAGCTGTAAGGGACACCTATTGCTACCACTGAATATGCTAAGATTAAAATTATGCCATGTACACTATTCCAGGCTGACCCATGTTGCAGGTGGGCCATATTGAGTATCAGGGAGGCTGAAAGAGAGGAAGACCGTCCAGTGTCTGTCATCCTTCCATCTCTCCTTGCGGATCCCCATCACCAAGTCCGCATGCTTGTGGCAATGTCATTGGAAAGGTATGCTAAAGCAGTAAAGCTAGCTCACTATACTCACTCACTTTGCAGTGCCAAAAAATTTATATTGCAACCTTGAGATGCAGTCTTTTTATTGCGATGCTTTGTGTCTAGGCTATTTCTGGACATGAGACCCAAGCACAGAGACGAGAGAAAGATGTTGTCGGACCAACAAGCAGCTTTTGAGAACATTTACTTGAAAGCTCAAGAGGGCATGACACCGGTGGTATGATAACTTTATAGGTCCTATCACCCCTTTGTTTTGCGTGTGTTTTATTTGTTGATATCATCAAATTCAGAAAAGCAGCTCAACTGATGATGAGCAGGATGAGATTTTCAACCGAAAGGCTACCTTGCTGAAGAGTTTGTCAGTCGTGCTGTGTTGTAGTCCAGTCTGCGAGAAGCAGACCCTGTTTGCCCTCTTCCAGTCTTACAAGGAAAATAATATTGACGAGCACCTCATTAAGAAGGTAAAATACCAAAAATGTTGTGTTTATCATTTTAAACTGCAACTGTTATACTCTATGTAGATGGATGGACAGGTAAACATTAATAATAATAATTTAATAGTTATTGATTTAGGATTTTAATGTATGCGTTAAGATGGAGTTTAAGTGAGCGTGTAAGTCAATTAACTGTATTTGAAGAGCGAAAAGTGAATTATATACTTATTGGAATTGTGGTTTGCAGTGATATCACACTAACTGGAGTTATGTTTTGGTTATCTTTGTGGCCCTTTTAGAGGGACATAGTGTTAGAAAAAAAACATTACAACGAGATTTATTTTGCTGCAGACTATAACCGTAATAACAAACATTCTTAAATTTATACCTCTTTGACATAAGAGAATGTTTTATTTAGAGTTCTTGTATCTCGTTAGGTTGTGATGGTATAATTTAAGCTGTAGCCACTGGGTTACATTGCATCGAAAAATGTGCAAAAAGGCTTTCCTTTACAACATTTTTGCATTTGTCACAGATGTTGTGTAGCGTATCCAGAACACTTGGCTACAACAAGATGAAAACATTTGTCAGCTCTCACCTGTACTACTTGGTTGCCGAATGGCTCTCCCAGAGACAGTCTGACGACAGCTACACGCTTGAATCTTTCCCTTTCACTCTACTTGACCATGGCACGCTCAAAGATTTCTATAGGTTAGAAAATAAAAACTTGAATCTGCCTCGCAATATTAACAAGCATTTGTTTAGCATCCTTTTGCCTGCTTGCAGCTCCTCATACCAGGTGCTCATCCCGCACCTTGTCTTCCTGGATGACTTTGAGCAAGTGAAGTCTATTGGCCGGTATCTTGAGAGGGACTGGAGAGAGCTTCTGGCTGACTGTTTCCCCAAGATCATGGTCAACATCCTACCATACTTTGCGCTGTCTGGCCAGGAGACAGCACAACAGAGGGAGAAGGCCCACCGTGTGTATGACCTGCTCAAAGATGCAAACTGTTTGGGCAAACAGGTAAAGGTGAATTTCTAGCCTTAGGCCAAAATTCGATCTAAATCTTGCATTTGACTTCTTGTGCATTTGAGTTTTAACCACATTGTGTTACATTCAGCATCAACTGCTTTCTCATGCTGGAACAGGAAGATATGATGATGAGTACATGTCATATTTACGATACTACATGTGATATTTCCCCTCATTTGCCATAGCAAATTGACAGCCTGATCCACAGTAACCTACCAGAGTTAGTTGTCGAACTGCTAATGACTCTCTATGAAAGGGGTGCCTCTGAAGAGGACAGAGGAGACTTGAAACGCTTTATAGGGTAAGGGTGTCACTTTTATTTTCAATACTGAAAATCGAAATTGAAAATGGATCGAAGTTTTTGTGAGATACTGTTTTCAGGAGTAGACCATTTGTTTATTACATGCAGGTTCCACTATATTTGATTATTCAGTTAGATTTAATTTTTTTCATTTTCTCACTTGGAATAAAGTAGTTACATTCTGTACCATTATTGTTTTCTTTTCAACAAAACAACTTACTAAAAAGGGCCGATGTAAATCTCTTTTTAGGGAATTGGACCCTGTCCCAAACCCACCATACTTCAGCTCTCAGGTCATCAAAGCTACACTGGACTATCTGAGCAAATGCCACAGCTCAAACCACAAGTCCCTGGTGGCCATTCTGTCAAAAACGCCAGTAAGATGCTCTCATCCGATGATAACCTTATTTATCTTGTTTATCATATTTTGGATATTCTTTGAGAAGCCGTTCCTTTTGTCCTGATCTTCCTCAGATATCTATTCAGAGGATTCTTCTGGCAATATGTGAAAAGGCCGCTGTGACAACTAACGGTTATGAACGTCATCGCATCCTCCTGATGTATCACCTCTTTGTCAACCTGCTGCTCAGGGAGGTGAAAGACAGTCTTGGAGGAGCCTGGGCTTTTGTCCTCAGGGACATCATATACACACTCATCCACCATATCAACAGCTGGCTGGTGCATGCAGACACACAAAGGTCAATTGATAGTGTTATGCATGATGTACCTAAAATCATACTCTTCCTCTATCTATCCTATCTAGTACAATAGCCTGAAAAGATGGCTTGGTTTTGGTTACAGGAATTTTTTTTCCATTCACAGACCAATTCAGTGTGATGAGGTCTCCAAGCGAAGCTTGTCCCTGTGCTGTGACCTCTTGACTGCCGTGTGTCAGGCTGCTCTGCAGTTCTGTGATGATGCTCTAGACTGCCACCTAAAGGTTATTGTTGGTACTCTCACTGCACAAGTGACCAGCCAGCCAGCTATCTCACAGCAGGTAATGTTTTCATATGAAAAGCTCTCACACATTGAGCTTAGTGCTGACAAAAGCTAGAACCTTTCCTAACTGATATTCCGTTTGCCGGTCAATCGCAGTGCCAGTAATATTCATAATGTATATACAGCCCTTTGATATATCTTTATATTATTTGATTGTGGAGGTGTTCATAAAGTTGTGGGCACCTTGTTTATCTGTGGATCGAGAACAAATCAGTTTAAACAACTTTTATGATACATATATTGTACATGGTAGAAAAAGTGAGGGGATGGAGGGGAGAATTCTTACAATTCATATTCTTTTGAAGCAACCTCACCTTTATTTGGCTGTCTTCTGTGACCCTCCAGGTGCTCAGTCTATTGAAATTTCTTGTCATAAAAAATCAACACAAACTGAAGGCAGCCATTTGCAAGTTGGAACCGTTTCCTGACCTGCCTGAATTCCAAGAGCTGCGTTCTGTCCAGAACGATCTCAAATACAATTCTGGGACCTTCACATTGAGACAGGTAACAATTTTCTTGGATGTTTTTACAGCAACAATGTGATTATTTTGTATTTGTGTGCTGGAATGGCTCGACATAATTTGGAGTAAATCTGTCTCCGTAGTACTCTCTTTTACTGCCACAGTCTCTTTTATGTACAGGAGATATCACACTTCCTGTCTATGACACCTTCTGACTCATTACCACTGACCAGACTTGAGGGAATTCGGCAACTTTCCCAAAAACTGCATGACAACAAAGAAGACATAAGAGAGTTGCTTAAAGAGTGCCATGGTAGGACAGCAAACGCATTTCATGTTAATATGTCCTATGTTTATTAGACATGACCTGATACAGTTCTGTGTCTGCCCACCTTAGCTGAGCCCACAAACAGCATCCTGGTGAAGCTGGTTCTGAATCTGCTGCAGCTCTGTAAGCTGGCAACCAATCACCCTACTGGAGTTGACATTCTAGGTATGCCGCTAATTTAAGTGTCTGGCAACAGCAAACCAGTGTGTTTTTCACTTTCAAACTGTAACGTGTCCTCCAGAGGCAGCAGGAAGTAGTCTGGGAGAACTGGGGCCTGTAAATCTCTCCACCATCGTCTTGCTCCACGGCAGAGATCCTCTTTATGAAAAGGCTATGACCATCTTCCCTTCCACTGACTCTCAGTGTGTTTACATCATCCTTAACTGCGTGAATGACTCCCTCACTCACCAGTGGTAAAGCGTGTCTTTAATCTCTGTAAATGTGTTGAAGGGAGATGTTTTATGACTGCTCTACTCTGATTTGCTGGCAGTATTGATGTGAGGCAGGCAGCAGCTCAATCTGTGAATGGCATCCTTGCCACCCAGTCCGGAATCAACTTTTGGGAGCAGCACAAACAAAGTAGAGACCCCATGTTGGCATACCTAAATCCATTTAGAAAAGCCAACAAGAAGGTGAGTTTATGGCAACTGATAACACAGGTAGGATGTGCTTACCATTGGACAGTTTTAACCAGGTGGCCTAAAGACACAGTATCAAAGAACTGTTTGAATCATGAAAATTCTATTGCCTGTCATCTTTAGATTCCTTCTGTTTGTGACAAAACTCTCAGAGGTCAAATTCATATTTTCTTCAGGTGACTACTATGAGTTCTGAAGAGAGTTTGCAGGCCAGGGAGAAGCTGGAGAACCAAGACTTTTGGATCCCACAGATAGGCGGCCACACAGTTTGGCTGAAGTCTCTGTGTGCTGCCCTGCTGGACAGCGGAGGAGTCAAGTGTGAGCCTCTCCTACTGTCCCGACCTCTTTGTCTGGTTAGTGGCCTGTGAAGCAAACTTGAACTTCTTCTCACAGTTTTGACCAGAAAAGAGCCTTCATTGTGTTCATAGCGTTGTGTCATTCACTGTTGTATTCCTTCTCTGTCGATAGGTGAACTTGGACTGTTGCCAGAGGCTGTTGCCCCTCATCATCCATTCTATCCTCCTGGATGACAGTCAGGGCTCCTGGAGAGAGTTGCTCTCTACCCATATCCAAGACTTCTTCAGTTTTTGTTCCCGAAGTGCTCAGGCTGCGAGCCGCTCCACCACACCACTCAACCTTGACTCCGGTATAATGACTTGAAAGCAGATGAGAGTGATTTGTAGTTTTTCTGTCATGCGCATCAATTATTCCTTGCAGAGACTGACACCGCCAGCCAAGGCTTGTACGACAAGGCATCTCTGCGTACCATGCTCGCCGTTATTGACTATCTGAGACACCAGCAGAGACACCTGACATCGGATAGGTTTGCATTCATTTTATATATGTCTTTGTAATATTGTTTTTAAAGGAGATACATGGTGAATTTTTTTCACCACTCGCTCACAGACGCATTTTCAGAAATAGGCCGATGACAAAAGATTTTTCATGGATTGTTCAATTTCACACTTCATAACTGGGCTCACTGTAGAGACCCAATTATTTTCAGAGGTGGGCATTTGTCACTGCGTTACTCCATCATTGAGCTTTTGTAAGTATTTCAGGCCCAACCTGTCGGTCCAAGTGAGCCAAACGTCGTTGAACGAACTTTGCGGTACTACATCACATGCAGGTGCCGCACACCCGGTACACAGCTAAATGAAGACAAAATGAGTGTTGTATTCCAAACAGCAATAACATGTATCCCAAATTGTTTTTATTTCAATGATCACCATGCTGTTCATGTGTTTGTTTGCGTTTGTGTCTGTTTTGATTTTACTTTTTCTCTTTATTTGGCTGAGTGGCTGCTTGTACCGCGCCTGCGTGTGATATGGAAATTATGTTCCCAACGCCGATTGGCCATTGTCCACTAAGGACAGACATGACCCACTTGGCTCGGCCTGAACTATTGACGTAAACTTAGTGATTGACTGACGATGCCCACCTCTGACTATTTGTATACAGTGCTTTAAAGCTACGTCAGTCTGCGGAGGCTTATTCCATGACAAGCATATCCATTTTTTAGCAAGCCTTCTGGCACAGTGTGTGATTCCAACTTCTGGCTGGACCTGAACTACTTGGAGGTGGCCAAATCTGCTCAGTCATGCTCTGCTCACTTCACTGCTCTGCTCTACACTGAGATATATGTGGATAAGATTAAATCAAATTTGGAGGACAGTCGCAGGTATGTATATACATTTTAATGACGTCGTTAGATTAACTCTCTAGAAATTGTGGGTTAATTCATTTCATATCAATCACTTTTCATAATACAGTATTCAGAAAGAGTTGCTGCATTGCAAATTGACATCTGCATCTCTATTGAATGAGCAGAACGAAAGGCAAAGCAACACGCAAGATCAACTTTGAAGAAAACAGCCAAAATCTCACTATCTCCTTCCTGACTGAGAAAAGTATGGAGGACTCCAACATCAGCTTGCAGGTCAACCATGTGTCAGATATGACACTTTTCAAGGAACATTGTTTCGATTTTCTCTTAGCCACATGAGCTTTGCTTATCAAATCATTCATCACATTACAAAAGACTAAATTAGATTTACATAATCATAGGAACTGCTGATTGATGTCTACCGGAGCATCGGCGAGCCTGACAGTCTTTATGGCTGTGGAGGAGAAACAGTGACCAGTCCACTAACAAGGTAATAAATAATCTTGTGATCAGACCTCTATTTTCAATGTGACATGTTCTCTGCAACTGATCAGACTCACAAAGTCTGTCGAACCAATTCTGCAGGATTCGAACATACGAGCATGAATCTATGTGGGGAAAAGCTCTGACTTCATACGATCTTCACTCGACCCTGCCAGATGTCACTCGACAAGTGGGAATTGTGGAGGCAAGTTATTAAACATACCAGTCCATGTCAGACGTAGTCTCATGGGTCTCAATTTACACAGTGATTTCAAGTAAGGAGATATACACATTTTTTTGCAAGTTGTAGTATGTATTTGCTATTTGCTAACATAGTTTGGTTTTATTCCTTACATTTTCTTGAAAGACATTAAACCTTTACAGACCTTGAGTATAAGACTCTTGTTGTTGGGAACTTGAACTATGTATCACACATACAGGGCCTGCAGAACTTTGGTCTGAGTAGCATCCTCACCACCTACATGAGGGGTCTGGAGAGTGAAGGGGTGGAGTGGGGAGCTGAGCTGAGGGAGCTCCGTTTCCAGGCTGCCTGGAGAAACACTCAGTGGGACTGTGAGCTTTCTGAGAGGTGCGGGGAGGGAGAAGGGCCTTGAATTAAATAAATAAACATTAACTCGAGAAAAAAAAACAATTCCACTGAAGTTGGGACCTTGTGACAAACATCAATAAAAACAGAATACAATGATTTGCAAATGATGTTCAACCGACATTTAATTGAATACACTAAAAAGATGAGGTATTTCATGTTCAAACTGATAAACTTTAAAGTTTATAACAAATAACCATTAAGTTTGACTGAATTTTATGGCTGCAACACGTGCCAAAAAAAGCTGAGAAAGGATCATGTTACATCATCTTTTCTTATAACAGCATTCAATAAACGTTTGCCAACTGAGGACATTAATTGTTTAAGCTTTTTAGGTGGAGTTCTTTCCCATTCTTGCTTGAGATAGAGCTTCAGCTGTTCAACAGTCTCCGTTGTATTTTAGGCTTCATAATGCACCACACGTTTTCAATGGGAGACAGGTGTGGACTGCAGGCAGGCCAGGCTAGCATCCGCACTCTGATTGTATTCTGCTGTTATTCATGTCTAACACAGTGTCCCAATTTAATTGGAATTGGATTTGTACATTATAGAGTGCAGGGTAACTTGATGTTTTTCATGAATGCCAGGAGTGATAAACACAAGCCGGGCTTCCATGAGTCTGTGTTCTGCGCCTTGCAAGCATTGAGGGACAAGGAGTTCTCCATGTTTGATGATACTCTAAAATGGGCGAGGTGAATTGCCTTTTTTTGGTCCTAACATAACATCATCTTATCAGATGGTCAAAGAATATTGCTCTTTTTCCCCTCAGGGGTAGAGAAGTAGAGGAGCTGTGTAAAGGCAGTCTGGAGGCAGTGTCCTCACTGTACCCAGCCCTTCGGAACCTGCAGAGCCTCGGGGAGCTCGAGAGCATCAAACCTCTGTTCGCAAGGTAGTTCCAGAATATCAGTGCCAGTGTTAAAATTGTTAAAAATGCAATTTTAATCTCTCCTCCTGCCCGCCGCCATTGTTTATCAGATCATTCTCAGAGTTGACTGTTAAGAATGTGCATAACCAGAGGAAGCAGCACTCCCAGCTTCTCTCAAACAGCGACTTTGCTTTGGTGGAGCCCATCTTGGCCATTCGTTCTGTGTCCTACAACACCCTGATGTCCAGGACGGTGGACCCCGACACTACTCAGTATCTCAGCTCAGTGCTTACTGACCACTTACTGGAACTGTGCCAGATGGCTCGGAAAGCAGGGCACACACAGGTAGTATCTGCAGAAAATTTAACTATTCAACTACCCTCATATTAAATAAACCTCCTGCGAATATTCACTGGGCACCACAGCTAATAAGATGGCTAAAATATAGTACCCTAAAAATATGTTATTAATTACTATGTACAATACTTGAAGTACAAGTACAATATTTGAATTTCAAAGGGTGTGCTGCTTGGTCCAAATTGTGCTTCGTTTGTGAGGTGAACCTGCTTTCGCAATGAATTATGACTGTAGTCGACTAAAACTCTCCGATATATGGTGACTCCTGTGTCCAGTTGGCGGAGCGAGCAGTGTTTCAGATGAAGCAGCATGGAGTTGAAGACCCCCGATCATCATCACCAATATCACTTTGGCAACTGGAAGAAGCTCAGGTGTTTTGGGTGAAGGGAGAACAAAGTCTGGCTCTAGGCCTTCTGAAACAGATGATCCAGAAGCTTGAGGAACATGTAAGACAACTGAAAACGCTTCTTCACACCCTGACTAGTTGATTGCTGTAATAAGAGGAACTTTCAGCACCTTATCTTGGTCTTGATCACAAGAAAAGGCTTATCGTAGTTTTATTTTAACTGTTGTCTTTTTGTGTCTGATCAACAGGTTGACTTCAATCCTGCTCTGGCACCGATCTACACTGAGTGCCTCAGGCTCTGTGGTAACTGGCTTGCTGAAACGTGCCAGGAAAGTCCTGGAGTCATTTTGGAGAAGTACTTGGAGAGGGTGAGAGCTTGCCTGCACTTTTACCCTCTTCACTCACGATGCAAAAAGAAACCAAAAATATCAGTACTATGTTCTTCATAACCTTTTACCACAACACGTAAATGTCTGTTTTTGTAATATTCTCTTAGGCTGTTGAGGTAATTGAAGTTGAATCCGGAGTGCAGGACGCTCGGCTTCAGAATGAGCGAATTGAGGCCTTCCTGTCGCTGGCTCGTTTTTCAGATGCCCAGTACCAGAGCATTGATAAATACATGACTTCATCCGAGTTTGAGAATAAGCAGGCTTTGCTGGAAAAGGCTAAAGAAGAAGTGGATCTAATGAAAGAGCGTAACGTAATAAAAAACAGGTTTGCACAACTTCCTGTATTTTTATCGTGCTTAATTTTCTCCTCTGCACTGATAGGAACTTTGACTTGCTGCTGATAGCGGTGGTGGTAGTGTGTACGTGTGTGTGCTTGCGTCCGTGCGTGCATGCGTTTAAACTCATCTTACATTATTACCCTGAAAAAAATGGCTTTGAGATGATTTGAAAGTACCCCGTATGTGTACGTGTACATGCACATGCTGGGGAAGACTCTCCCTTACTCCACGAACAACCCAGGCTAAATGTAGCTCCTTCCTGATTTGCAAGGCTTGTGTCCCAGTCAAGATTTATCATTTCAACATATGGATTTGTAACAATCACTGTACTACCCTGATATCTAGTCAAGACTTTGGTACCAAATTTTGAAATTGGCAGAAACATGCTTATATTTTCTCTGTATCCAGGTATACAATAAAGGTAGAACGAGAGCTGGAGCTGGACGAGAAGGCCCTTTCCAACCTGCAGGCAGACAGACAGCGCTTCCTGTGTAAGGCAGTAGAAAACTACATACAGTGTCTGGAGCAAGGTGAGGAGCACGACACATGGGTGTTCCGTTTGGCGTCGCTCTGGCTGGAAAATGCTGACATGACAGTAGTCAATGACATGATGAAGGTTTGTCAGTCACATCTGAATTGGTTTGTCATTTTTGGCTCATAGGCCCTGGTGTATATATCTCTTCGACTAACCTGGACTCATCATCATTTTTTGTAACGTTGTAGAAAGGAGTAAAGAAGATCCCCTCCTACAAGTTTCTACCTCTTATGTATCAGCTTGCTGCGCGTATGGGAACCAAGATGGCGTCTGGCATAAGAGAGGACGTGGGCTTCCATGACGTCCTTAGTGAAGTGTGTTAGTTTCTGCAGCAGTCGATCCGTATGATTGTACGCATAGTATGACTGCTATTCTTTTATCTCCTCACAGTTGATCTTCCGGTCTTGTCTTGAGCACCCTCATCATACGTTGTTCATCATCTTTGCCCTGGTCAACGCCAACAAGGACCAACAGTTTTGTACTAGTCGGCTGACGAAGAGTGCTCCACGTCAGTCTTCGCCATTTGACATGGTAGGATCCCAATAAAGAAAGTAAACCTCATGGATTTGATTGCACCCTTAAATTTACACAAACTGGCTGCAATTTGTTGCTCTGAATTTATTGGGCAGATTCTATACGATGTTTTTTACCGTGTGGTGTCTTTTCACATTCAATCTGTTTGCGGCTATTAAAAAAACAAACAAAAAAACAAATACAGTAGCATACATAAGGCATATTTTGCCTTGCAGGAGCGTTCCAATGTGGCCCAGAAGATCATCAGTGCCGTCAGGAAAAAGAGAGGCGAGATGATCCGGGGTATTGAGCGACTATGTGACGCTTATATCACACTTGCTTATCTGGATGCCAGCAGGCACAAGGTAGAGAAGAGTGAGTAAAATAGTTTGACACACACACACAGTACATATAGGGATTTCCAACGATTCAGGCAGGCAGCTAGACTGCCCTTCGTGGACATCGAGGATAGTTTTGTAATGTCTGGTAACGTACATATCGGGATTTCCAACGATTCAGGCAGGCAGATAGACTGCCCTTTGTGGACATCGAGGATAGTTTTGTAATGTCTGGTAACGGTGGACTCATTTCAGTTCTGTTCCATTACAGAGGCAATTCCCATTCCTGCGGATCAGCCAATACATCAAATCAAAGACCTGGATGAAGTTGCAATTCCCACTGTTGAGCTCAAGGTGTTTGACGACAATTACGTTTTGGATTTGGAATTTGTTTTATTTCAAAGGAAATAATGGAAATGGAACTATATTTTTTAAATTTAAATCTTCTTAATGAGCCTTTTCATAAAACTTATAATCCAATAAAAGTATTCAGTGAAAAAATATATTCCCATTGAGTACCATTAGCACCTTTTCCTTATATGCTCATATTGTTACCTTGATATAGTATTTTATTTAGAAAAACATTTTCATTGGAATTTTCAGGGTTTTTTTAACCACTTAACCATTCAAGTTCAATGATTGTACTGTATGCCATATTTGACCTGAGAACCCATTGAACCCATAACACCAAATTTGTTGAAGTCCGTTGGAATAGTTTAACCCTCTGCTTTAATAGGTCGATCCTTCAGGTCGCTATGATGATGTAGTGACCGTCCATTCCTTCCTGCCTCATTATCACCTGGCTGGAGGAGTCAACCTGCCCAAGATCATAGACTGCGTGGGCTCGGATGGCAAGAGCAGAAGGCAACTGGTCAAGGTGGGTGGATGTTTACTTGCAAAGGTGTGTGTGCTCCAAGCGCATGTAAAAATCTGGCTTTGATGTTCTGGTAAAGTTGGGTGCCAGTCACGAATATGTACAAGTGTTTTTCCCCCCTTTTCTCCGAAATGTTTATTCTGGTTTAGTCCCATGTCCTCATCTGTTTGATTGATGATGTCTCTCGTTTTGCCTTCTGTTAATAATTGATGGCGTTTCTGTGTGTAAGCAAACACAAAGTTTACAGATCAAAAATGCTTTTTCGCACCTATGTCATCAAGGGTGCGCGTGCATGTGTGTGTGTGTGTGTGTCTGTGTGCGTGCGTGTGTGTGTGTGTGGTGCCTGCGCGAGCGTGTGTGTGCGTGTGTGTGTGTGTGCGTGTGTGTGTGTGTGACTGAGAAAAGTCAAAACTAATCGTTTACTATTTGACACTGTTAATGCAATAATGACTTGCAGAAGTGAATCTTTCAATTGTAAAGTCAAAACTAATCGTTTATTATTTTACACTGTCTGAATGAAATAATGACTTGCAGAAGTGAATCTTTCAATTGTAAGTTTATGGAAACACATGATCATTGGAGATGTGTCAATCGTGTCAAATTCTCACCTTGTGAACAGGGTAAAGACGACTTGCGGCCATTCCTGTGCAATTATGAGCATTTTGCGTAATTTCTAATGATGGAAACACATGATCATTGGAGTTGTGTCAATCGTGTCAATTTCTCACCTTGTGAACAGGGTAAAGACGACTTGCGGCAAGATGCGGTCATGCAGCAGGTGTTTGCCATGTGTTCCATGTTGCTGCTGCGGAACACTGACACTCACAAGAGGAAGCTCAATATCAGAAGATATAAGGTCACTACAGCACATCTGACTTGAGTACTAATTCACCACTAGCGTAACTGAAATCCATCATAAATGAAGGACTTCCTGTATTTCCTTTCATTAGAGGCAATAATAATTTTATGCTTGTTTGAAGGTGGTGCCGTTCTCTCAGTGCAGCGGGGTCTTGGAATGGTGCTCCGGTACGATTCCTCTTGGAGAATACCTTGCGGATCCTGTCAAAGGGGCTCACAAACGATACAGACCGCAGGACGCTTCCAGCCTCGCCTGCCGCAGGAAGATGATGGTACTACCCCGTGGGCATTGCTCCGGGCAGTGGTTCTCGACCTTACTTGGGTCAAGGCACAACATATTTTGCAAGACTTTCACATCACACCACCAAACAAAAATGTCACATTATGTCTCAATGTCGCAGTCCTCTCAAATTGACTTACTCGGTGTGAAAATTTTGTTTTGAAGTTGAAGTCATAGTTATTCTGTCATTTTAGGAGGCACAGAAACATGGCTTTGACGAGAAGCTCCAAGCTTACATCGAGGTGTGCAAAAACTTCAAGCCTGTGTTCAGATATTTCTGCATGGAACGCTTCGTGGACCCCGCAGTGTGGATGGAAAAGCGGCTGGCCTACACCCGCAGCGTGGCCACTTCCTCTATCGGTACTCGGATAGCAAGTGACCTTTAACTGCCACACATCATATCTAAACAGCAGTCTGAATAGTTCACAACAGCTTATGATAAATAACCCATGTGGACGTAAGATCTCCATTTTCATCATGACAGTGCCAAGGCAGAGATGTTTTGAAATGGCGGGTGAATGAAGTGACTGTTTTGTGACCAACAGTTGGCTATATCGTTGGCCTCGGTGACCGGCACATTCAGAACATCTTAATTGATGAGCAGACTGCCGAGCTGGTGCATATTGATTTAGGTAACCGCGTTTGAGTGACTCTCATTGCGACCACAGGTATGGTACCTTTGGCTATGGTCCATCTTAATGGTTTTGTGCAGGTGTGGCTTTCGAGCAAGGCAAGATTCTGCCCACCCCCGAGACCGTCCCCTTCAGACTCTCCAGGGATATTGTCGATGGAATGGGCATCACTGGAGTGGAGGGAGTTTTCAGGAGGTCAGGAGGAGGCGAGAATTGACTGTGATTGTAGTTTCATATGTGACTGCTGGTCATTGTTCTAGAAGGTTTCATTCAGCATATCAGCAAGCTCTGAGAAGCCTGCTAACGACACTTTTGAATCAGGTGTGTTGGAGGAGGGAGACATCTGAAACAGGCTTGATGATTGGTGCTCTTGTGAACCGTACTTGGGCACCCCTGGAGTAGAATAACATTGTTATTTATGCATAGCGGCCGCACGCAAGAATGATTAAATACCCATGTACATGTTTACAGCATTGCCAAGACGACCATGCGAGTTGGTAGGACGGTTTACAGGGGCGGATGGAAATTACTGACTCGCTGTGGCGACCCCTGAATAGGGACGTGCCGAAAGGAGAAGAAGAAGAAGAAGAAGTACATGTTTACAGCATGAGGCAATAGGAGTCAAATAGCAGTGAGTGGCAACTATACGCAATTACTGTCGACTCTCAAAAAATTAGAATACCTTAAATTGATTTCGGTTTGATTCTAAAAGTGAAACTTGAATATCATGTAGGTTCACTACACCGAGATTGAGAAGATGTATGATCTTTTTTGGGAGGGTGTAATTTTGATGATGATACCTTAGAGCTAATGAAAACCCCAAATGAAATACATCCATAACAAGACTTTCACTCTGGATTTAGCTATATGTAGGCGTTAAATGTAATTTTGTTCCTGTTCAGATGTTGTGAGAAGACCATGGGGGTAATGAGAACCTATCAAGAAGCTTTGCTGACCATCGTGGAGGTACGACAAAAACTCCTTCGCACTCAGCTGGTTGATTTTTGTCTTGGAAATAAATGTGCCCAGTGTCTCTTTTTTGTGAAACCCAAGTCCTGTAAACGCCGCGGCTGCGTGTCCCTATGCGTTTATTCTCATAGGTGCTGCTCTATGACCCCTTGTTTGACTGGACCATGAACCCCCTAAAAGCCTTCAACCTGCAGCACGACGAGCAGCAGGAGCTCAACGCCACACTCAGTTCAACCATGGGAGGTGACGACTTGGGCAACCACAATAAACACAGGTGCTGAATAGTAGCTCATTTACCTCATTGTGGGCAGCCTAAGGCACACTTGTGTAATAAATGTGCTTCATTGGCAAATGCTGAAAATAACACTTTTCTTTAATCGTATAAATAGTCTCTGTTCAGTGTACGTACCTTCGCTCTGTCTAAATAACATTCGCAGAAAACAGATGATTGCTGAACATTGTCTCCTTTCACACTGTTCTTTTTCACTTGCTATGCTTCCCGGCGTAGTGACAGCCAGAACTTCAACAAGGTGGCAGAGCGAGTGCTGCTGCGACTGCAAGAGAAGTTGAAGGGTGTGGAGGGGGGCACGGTGCTCTCCGTGGGTGGCCAGGTCAATCTGCTCATCCAACAGGCCATGGACCACAAAAACCTCAGCAGGCTCTTCCCAGGCTGGCAGGCCTGGGTGTAGATGTCACACCAGAAGAGGAGGTGATATTATCTGTATGTTCATTTTTACATTAAAAATGAAAACTATAGCTGAAATAAAACAAAGCTGTAAAAAAAAAACCCCTAAAAAACCCACTTGATATTTGGAGTGTTTGCACTGTGCACTCAAGCGTGGCCCCGTGTGTTTAGACAAGTGAACAAAGCTTGTTGTACTTGTTGTGGGCTGAAGTGGAAAACTTGAGAGGATGTCAGAAAGAAAACGAGGTGTGTCCACATTGCCTCGCCATCACTCATTTGATCACTCTGGTGACACAGCGCAGTGTGACGTTTTTTTTTTTTTTTTTTTAAAGAAGCAGACGGTTGTCAAAAATAGTCCTTATATCATCCTTGCATTGGATGAGTATGGTTAGTTTTAAACAGACACCCTGATCGAAAAATATTGTTGAGGACTGACACATTAAGGAAAATAGAAATGAGCACAAATCCGGTAAGTTTTGCAAAGTTATTTGTGACTTGCATGTACTTATATCGGGTAAATACTTTTTAAGCCACTAGTACTCGTAAACGTGTGTAAGATGTCTTTTTTGTCCTCTTTGGTCATGTCTGCCGTTTCATTCTTGCATATTGTGAATCAATTCTGTGGTACAAATAAAACCTTAATCTTCGAACTTTTGTGCTCAAGGGTCACATTTCATCTTTAAATCGATCTATTGGGCCATGTCAGTCACAGATGAGGTTACGTTTTTTTCTAACATGGATATGTTTTGTTTCATGAAGAGATCAAAACATTTTTACAATTAATTTGATTAGGACTAATGAACAAATTTCTAACATTTGAAATGTATGTCAAATACTGTATCTTACTTATATGTACAGTAAATCAATTGACATTATTTCGTGATAAATTAATATAAATAAAAATTACTATATACTAAACTGATCTGGAGGAAAAAAGAAAGTTAAATTAATCCTACATACGGTATATTACAGGATAATGTAATTGCCGATGGGGGGCTAGATTAAAGAATATATGTGGCCCACTCCTGGGCTAACCCATTTCCGCGCCACCGCCCCAAAATTAATTTCTGTAGTGGATGATGTGAGTCCTTCTTCAAAGGAAGTACTGTACTAGCCTGTGGTGCTTATGTTGGATCTATCGCCTCATCGTTCTTTTCTGATACTGAATCATCATAAGTTGGTCATTCTTTTCCATGACATGCTTCAAAATTGGCACACAAACCTCTGTGCACTCTTAGCTCTACCAAGCATCCTAATATATTGCCCATCCAAAAAAAAAAATATACGGGATAACCAGCGTTGAAGCTCATATTGACCAAATGGATGAAGGACCCACATTTCTAAAGTTTGACTGAACTGCTTCAGTGGGCGGCCATTGACAGGATGCGTCCGTCTTGCCGGTCAGAAGTCAAGCCTCAGTATGTTCACCATTTGGCCCCAAGGTCCCTGCCCGAAATCACCTTCACGACTCCGCAACAAAAAGGTACTTTCCATTCTCAACAAATGTCAAAACTGAAATAATGATGATCTCTACTTAATTTATTGCCTACTCATAGGAAGCCCCGACTTATGTTATATGAATGTAAAAACGTTTATTTCACCTTTTGCCATCTTTGTGAAGGAGTGTTGATTTTTTCTGCCGGTCACTGCACTTCAGTGGCATGGATAGAACAAGTTACTTTATTTGAAGAAAATATTTTTCGTGGCTGGCAGTCACTGCTCGATAGTGATTCTCTCAAATGTTCAAACCATGTACCACATAAAAAATGATTAACTAGTTCCAAGTGGTACACATTTTTAGAATCACTTCTTTTGAGAGAAATTTGAATGGAATCCCCGAATTGGCATGATGTGCTATTGCAATGTTTAAATTCATTCATATTGCAATTCATAATTCACAAATAAATACAGTACATGCTTTTGAAATTCAACCCAAACTTCAGATGTTAACAAGTAGTTTTGATCCTTTCCAGAAACAACATACTGTTTCATTAAAGATATCAAAAGTAAGATTTAGAAAATGTAAATGTAAACACAAAGTAAAACAATAATTTATAATTCAAAGAATATCAATGAAGGTCTATCTGCATATCGTGCATTTCAAATACAGTGGTACCTCTACTTACACACACACACAGGCACACACACATTTTAAAGGGGGAACAAATATTACACACCAACTCCTTTCAAATGTGCACCTAATCCTTTATGCGATGGCCTCTCTTGTGCTCAGCTCGGTTTCGGGTCACCCTGTGTGGAAAATTCTAAATCAGTTGTGGCTTTAGAATAATCGTTCTGTGTTTGCTTTGTGACAGATCTCAAACAGAGGTGTGTTAAGTGTAGTGCGGTTGCTGTGATCTGCTTGCTGCTCCTCTTGCTGCTGGCGGGCATCCTCTTGGCTTATTACTGTAAGCACACGAAATCCTCATGTGCTCCATCTCCTCAGTGGACTAAACACTCATCTGATGAAGTCCCTTCTCTGTGCTTTTTTGGCAGATTCCTCCACCTGCGTGCATGGAACACCTTGCGGTGGTCATACAGGCTGTGTGTGGGAGTCCCAATGGTGTGATGGAGTGGTGGACTGTCCAGCGGGGCAGGATGAAGCTCATTGTGGTAAATAACTTCATTTGAAATTAACCAAAGGTTAAACGAGGGTGGATGAGTGGTGAGCACGTTCAGGGTTCAAAATTTCAGCTCCTGCCTTCCTTTGTGGCGTTTGCATGTTCTCCTCATGCTTGCAAGGGTTTTCGCGGGATACACTGGCTTCCTCCCACATTGAAAAAAACGTGCGCGTGAGGTTCATCAAACACTAAATTGTGAACAGTCCAGGCTAGACCATACTTACCTGTTGCCCAAATCAGCTCGGATAGGCTCCAGTTCATTTTATGTACCGGTATATATATTTTTAGTGAATGGGTCCAAAATGTTTGTTGTTGGCTAAAGAACTTGAGAAAATGAGAGACTATTTCTAAAATCCTATTTTCATTCCAATATTTCGTATTCCAAACAGCTTTTTTTTTCTCTTTCCGTGGTCAGTAAGGCTTCATGGTACCAGTTTCCTGCTTCAGATCTTCTCAACTCAGACCAAACAATGGAGGACCGTTTGTTCTCACGGCTGGACAGCCCAGCTGGGCCAAGCAAGCTGCCGGGACATCGGATACAGCGGGTAAGAAGACGTGGAGTGTGTTGTGTTTGTTTCGCTCTCCAAGGATGCGTTTCCATCACGCTGTGTTTCCTGTTATGTCCTTTGACAGGAGCACAAGTGTTACCTCTGGCCTACATGAGGCAAGCTCTGATGACGCGTTCTTGATGGTGAAATCCAACCTAAACCCTCATGTACCTGTAGTGCAACAGCTCGCTCTCAGGTTGTACGAATGCTCCATTTAAAAACATGACAACTCACTGCATTTCAACTTTTGTTTTCTGTACCTTCTGCAGCAATTACTGCCCAAACAACACTGTAGTGACACTGCGATGTACAGGTAAGGCTTCTCGTCCTTCTAATGTTGTTGTTGATCATATGTTGTGAGCCTCAAACTATACCAAGGACAAGTAGAACAGAAATTTAATGTATGGAAAATGTTTCAAATCTGCACAGTTTAATGTTGTACGCTGTTATTTCAGTGAGTGCTCCGTTGTTTCTCAGCTGCTCCTTAATTCCTCTCTTCAGATTGTACAGGAGGAGTAAACTCCAGTAGGGCTTCTCGGGGCCAGCAAGCCTCCCTCGGCGCGTGGCCATGGCAGGTGAGCCTCCAGCTTGCGGGCTCCCACCGGTGTGGAGGTGCTATCATTTCCCCCAACTGGATTGTCACAGCGGCCCATTGTGCCCACATGTGAGTCCTCGCAGGCTTGTTAGTAGTCGCCATCCATTGTATCCTTCAATCTGCTCCTCTGTTTTGTGTCTCCTCTGCAGGACATCCAATCCTGGAGACTGGTCAGTGTATGCGGGGCTGGTGGAACCTTTGGGCATTCACTTCAACCCCGCTCACGCTGTGGGCCATGTCGTTGCTCATGAACGCTTTGACAGAGTTACTTACAGGAATGACATTGCTCTGATGAGGCTCAGCAAACCTCTGGACTTCGCAGGTATGAAACAGCAAAGCGCCTCCCAGTTTCTTCTATACCATCTGCATATGCCAAACCACAATACAAAAAACACTAGTGTCAATATCTACACTGTATAAATTATATGAATGTATCCATCCAGCAATTTTCTATTCTACCCTCATTAGTACCTCAAGTGAGATGGAGCCTACCCATGCCAACTGAATTTGCTAAATAATGTTTGTTTTTCTCCTCTGTATGGATTTGCCTTGATAGCCTCCAGTAACATTGGTCCCGTGTGCCTCCCAAATGTTGGGCTAAACATCTCGGCCCCACTAAATGTCTGGACAACAGGATATGCTGTTTCAGTCAATGGAGGTGAGGAATTGCACAAGCAGGTTTTTTTTTTTTTCCTGGGTCTCACTCTCACTCAGGCTGGTCAGTGAAGTTGACACATTTGCTTATCTGTTGTGCCTCAGACTCTCCATACCTGGTTGAGGCTCAGGTCTCCCTCGTGGATGTTGCGGGATGCAACAGCTCCACGGCTTACAAGGGACTGATATCGAAGGAAATGCTGTGTTCCAAAGGGGCGCAGACTGGATCGGACGCATGCAAAGTGAGGGCTGCGACATATGCGGTTCCAATTGATAATAGTCATCAGATCATGTGGATTTTAACCATTTTTTGGTGGGGGGTTCAGACCGACAGCGGCGGACCTCTGGTTTGGCAGAGGGATGGCTCATGGTGGCTTGTTGGGGAAAACATTTGGCCAGAAAGTTGTATCGACCTGAACAAACCAGGTGTTTATAACAACATCACCTATTTTTTGGACTGGATATACCATCAGATGAAGGTAACTAAGTAGCTAAAAAAGCGCCATCATGATTGATTATTCCAACAGATAATCAACTTCAACCTATTATTATGTTTTGATGATGGCAAATTTTCATGATCACATTAACTCTTTGTATTTTCAGAAAAATCAAGTTGACTGAAGACATGGCCACTGGTCAAAGACGATCACGGTGGGTTTAAATATTTTTAGCACCATTGCTAACATACATCAACCTATTTCCATAATTCGTCATTCTTTGTACTTGTGTTTCATATGGAATTATTCATGAAGTTGATGGTTTGCCCTATTTTCCCAAGATGACAATTTAGCATGGCGGGCACAGCCATAATCTAAATCTGATCAAGCTGTTTTCTAAAAACTTTAGACATGAATAGGTGGTATGCCAAATGTAGTACATTAGAAAAATATAAATGCTCATTGGTAGAGCTCACGCCAGTACATTTGATCAATCACAGGCAGCCAGTCTTCACGTGAATGGGGATGATTAATTCATCCCAAACAGTGAAGGTATAATCAAACCTTCAATGTTACCAGAAGTTCTTTATTTGCAGCAATTTTAGTAACGACAAAAACACTGAACAATTTAAATATGTCTTCAAGAATCAGTTGTGGCTTTAGCTTTCCTCACGAATCAGTTGCTTGCAATCGCCATCATTTCCACTCGATGGCATACGGATACCACATTTAGGTTTCAAAAGAAGCTGAAACTCATGATTCAGGTCCGGCAGCCTTGATTGTACGTGCGCTTGAGTCACTTATAACAAAGCAATATTGCTTTGTTTACAAATGTGCAGCATGTGCCAAAATTTGAAACTAAAATTAAACTCCCATTCAGATCAATTTCAATATAAAGTTCAACACAATTAGTCAAATGACATTAACACACCGGCACTGCATTGACCATAGAGCTAGATGTCAGTTTGGGCTTCTCGAGTGCAAAACCATAAATGGTCATCTGAGCAGGAAGGTGACACTTTTTGTGCCTTTCAGGTCAGAATGTCGAGGCAGGCGCTCTTGTCAACTCTTTCTTTAACGACTGTTGTAACAAAATGTCAAGTGTGCAGGCTGGACAGCCGGAGTGGTGCATCAGCTCATTAAAAAAAAAAAGCAAATACTTTGGCACAGTCCCGACACATCTGCCAGAACACTACATGAACCCTTTTGATTGTGGACTTTGGGGGTCTGTGTAAACAAGCTATGTAAGCATGGTCAACTTATATTAAAATGCACAAACACCGAGGAAGAGTTTTCTGAAGGCACTACAAGCAATGTAAACATGACATTTTGCCTCCAATATTACATAAATGTCATCAAGTGTCCGAGCAGCTTTTTCCCGACGCTAATTTCACCATCGTCTGAAGTGAATTTAAAAGGACGGGAGGGTAAAACATCCCATCACTGATCTGGGCGAAAAAGCACGTTTAAACAGACATATACCAAACAATGTTTGCTTTTGTTTACCAAATGACATTTGTAATATACACCACACCCAAAATGTCAGGAATAGTGGGCTTTCGGGTGAAATTTCAGCTCAAACGCACTCTGACCACGATAGCATTTCTCTAATCAACTGGTGAACAATCAAGAATGACAATAAAAACCACAAGTTCATTGTGCACCACTGACAGTGTCATTTGAGAGTTTATCAGAAGGATTGTCCTTCTTATAGGAGGTGGATGCTTCTAAGTCAACATTCTTGTGCAGCCTCACCCCTTTTTCCACCTCCGGGGTAGCACTTTGCTCATTCGCGCCCCGCTCGTGCGCACCCATCACCCGCGCCGTCCCTCTCAGTCACTTGATGCGGTGCCGCACCAGCGAGGACTGGTCGTTAATCTCCCCGGAGTAGTCCCGCCGTCGGCAGGGCAAGACCAGCAGCAGCAGCAGGATGATGAGGATGATGGCGCACACGGCCATGAGGGTGTAGGAGATCACCCAAAGAAGAGGCTCCTTCAGCGCTCGGCCGGAGCAGTCCGACGCCACGTCCGCTGATGAGAAGGGACCGTCGATTTCGGACAGAGCCACCCCGCCGCTTACTGCGGAGAAACATCACAAATCAGTGGACCCATGCCAGTTTTTAAGCATTCCGTATGTGTATTATCTATACTTGCTCACCTGCACAGTTGCTGAGTGCAAAGCCCAGTCGACGCTGGGCCCGATCAAACACCACGTAGAAACCCTCCATCACAGTCGCTCCAATCACAAGACCGGTGGTGGATGAAGACAAGCCGAAGCGGTAGCAGTCTAGTGTGCCATCCAAATCTGTGATTGGCTGGATGTATAACTTTAACAGAAAAAAATCAATTTAAAAAAAAAAAAAAAGCGATGATGATTTACTGGTGAGGAATCTGTTGAGGAACGTCGGTGTTTGCATTTCTGTACCTGAGGCAGGATGGTGATGCGGAAGGATTTGCTGGTGTTTGTGTCCCTTAGATAGATGGACAGCTTGGGGAAAAATCTCCACGGGGTTTCTCCCCTCACCCAGCAAGCCAACTTGGTCCCGTCCCAGAATCCTGATGAAAACTCCTGGATCTGAATGAATGAAAGAAAAGAAAAAATGTCCGGGTAGCACCACAACAATTGGCATTGATGCATGTACAGAAGCTAATGTCTGTCGGCACTTGAAAATAAGAAGTCAAAGGTATAATTGTAGCATCACCCTCTCCAGCATATTCTGCAGAATACATTTTCAGTTCTGCCAAAGAATCCGCATCCTTGAACCGCGACAGTGACACCCTCCCCGAAATCTCTTTGCACTGACAGCGCGTTTCATCATTGCCCGTTGCGAGTGACGGGCGTACCAGAGAGCTGCGTGTGATGGCGTCCACCACCGCATTGAAGACGTTGACGGGAAGTCGCAGCAGCGTCGTGCCGCTGTCGACTATAGCTTTATCCATGTTATACTGAAAAGAAAAAGGCGAGACAGAGAAGTGCGGCTTGTCAGTTCAGCACACTCCTATGGAAGACCTTCAGTTTTGGAATAAAAAAAATAACAATTCAAGCTCTTTCTTGAGCTGAGAAACAAGGATTTACAGAAGCCTGGCGCCAGTATGAATTTTGGCCCTTGTGATACGACGGGTTCGTGTTTTAAACAGTACACAAATGGCAAATGACTAAAACACTTGCTCACTGTTCCTAGCGAAAGCATTTCAAATCCATCCAATTGCGAGGACGACTCTTGCGCAACCCTCTTCAGCGAGCCCACACATTTACCCGAGTGACTTTGGGCTGAGCGCTGTCTGGGGGCATTCCAAAATGTTTCATTTTCTCTGGTGAGCCCATTTCTTTGCTGATTTCGACATGTGCTTTGGGTTGATTTCGCATAAAAAGCAGGCATTCGGAAGTTATTGCGCATGCACGGCGTCGACGATTTGACGAAATCCAAAAGTCACCTCGCTGCAGTCGAGGTCCAGGTTCTGCTCACCGACCTCCAGCTTTAACACCTCTACTTGGTAGTACCATTCCTCAACGATAGGGGTGTACCAGATTGACCCCCGATACAGAGTTGGCTCAGCCCCACCCATGATCTAAAACACACACGCGCACACGCACACTTGGTTCAGCCCCACCCATGATCTAAACACACACACGCACACACACACAAAGCCAAACATGAAACATTGCATCATTGTCACGGTAACACCCATTTCCCTTGCATGATTTCACATCTTCTCTCATGATTGGATGCAGAAAATATCAATTGATACGCACTACTAAAATTACGGAAATTGCACAAGTGTGAAGAATAGACTGCTAAAAATACGTTGGCCTTTACAGTCCATCCCTGTGATTTTTTTTTCCTTATTAATTTGACGAACTCAAATTCCTCTGCCTGCTGACTACTCACAAGGCTACCACCCGGAGGGTCGACGACGGTGCTCGCCGACATTCCAGTCCCACACATCTGGAGGGAGAAGACATCGGGAAGACCAAGCTGTCTCACCACAGAATTGAAGAAGGGTTCCACGGATGAATCTGGCTGATTGAGACCAAACAAAAAGCAAACACATTCACTCATTAGTGCTGGTCAAGGTACGTTTAGCTTTTGTGATCCGATTCCATTTTCCTTGACTGAATCGGGAAGTTTCCCACACATCGAAATGACATACAAAACAATGGTTTATGGTTATTTGACATCCATTCCCCATTAGAGGTGGATACAAGGCAAGTGACATGGGAAGGAATTCAAGAATCCTCCATAACATCGCTAAATTGATGACAGCAAAAGTAATCCATTCAAATTCCTTGAATTTCATTTGTACATTTTTGCATGGCTACTTTATTTGATGTATTTTTATATGATTACTCAGAATAATGATAATGTCATTACGTGTCTATCATTTCACCACAGAGGTTTCTGTGCACCGATTCATGCTTTAGCAATTCTTGCCCCGCTAACATCGGATTTATTCAGTCACTTGAAATAAAATCGGACTCCTTGCCACAGCCACAAAGCATACTCGCGCTTCTTCCTCTGTGTCTCCACACAACGCTTGGTAGTGGCAGCCCCTCAACCATTCTTACTCTGTACCGTCATATTGCATACATTTTCTCCTCACAGCATGTACGTTGGGCTTTGCTAATCATGATTAGAAACACATGACCATGTCACATCTATTTCAAATTGTATTGGTAAAGGGAACTCAATCCATTTCCCAACTGTAACGTATAGCTGGCCTGAATGTCATCAGGATCGGATGTGCTGTGGATGTACATTAAAAAGTCCAATTTAGGGTAAAATCAAAACATTATTTGACTTACCCGAGCCAACATGGGATAGGCAAGTCCAAGGATGCCCTGCCAGTTAATCCCACGTAAGAAGAAGCCTTCAGATGACAAGATGGTCGCAATGTTGACGCTGATGGTGCCATTTGGGCCATTGGGGATGGAGATAAGGTCAACGCCAAGTTCACCCATCCAGTTTCCCTGAGTGTACCTGACTGCTACGCTTTGGCCATCTGACCTGAAGGAACTGGAGCTACACACAGACAGGAGCCAAATTAAAACAGACATTGTGGTACTCCTGAAATTCCTTTTCTGTAAATGTCACTACAAGGGGAGACTATAAACACTGTTAAGTGTGTGCGTTTGTGGGACAAAGTGCAGGTGACATCAGAACAAAATTTGGAACGGGATTCGTGACGTATTAAGTCATCACGTGTCAAAATGACTTTATTCGTTCACTCTCATTCAAACGTCTTAATGCCTCAGTCATCGTTTTCAAACATGATTCAGCTACTCACAGTGTGGTGTTGAAGTAGCGAGTAATAAATGGGTGTGAAGCCGCAGCCACTGCAAAGTTACTGCTGCCGGTGTCCACCAGGATGTTGAGCTGAAAGAAACCAAGTCGGAGCTGCTTTAACAAACATCGCCTTTTGGCTACAACCTTGCCCCACCCTAATTTGCACAGATCAAATATTTCTCTCTGAAGATTCTCGCGTCAGGCCAACTATTGACAATGTGCGATCAAGCTTTGCCAAGTGGAACAAAGACCATGTTGCTTGTCAGAATTAATCTACAATGTTATCCTTGAGTCAACCATAACAGCCTGCAGGCTCTCCCGCATGAGAGCATGACCTGTCCAGCCCTCCTGGTATGTGTCACCCAGTTGTAATCGGCTAACACTAACTGCAGTCGAGATAATATTCCAGGTAACAAATTAATGAGCAGGAAATCATTTGCCGGTGGCGTCTTTAACCTTCACCGCTAAATGGCGGCCACATTAACACCCTTGTGCAAGTGTCCCTTTACCTTGACATCATTAACCGAATGCCTCATAGCCACATGCGGCTTCAACCACAAAGCGCTCTCTGCAGAGACACCTCAGTGATCTCATGCTAGGGCAAAAAAACAAAAAAAGTATCTGTTCCTAACCCTCATTCATGGCCGTGACAGTGCTGGGGTAGCTTCAAACGTCAACTGCTGAATGGGTTTTCTGTTGCGATTTTTTTCACCCTTGAAGAATTCAAATCCAGACGACATTTAAAAAGTCTAATGAAAAGCCGTTTTTGCATGCCATGTCATGATGGCAGTAATTTTAAGCAATCCCTCCTAAATGTAAAAAAAAAAAAATCTTCCTTAGTTTATTTATACTCCTTCCAGTTTTCACACAATATCCGGGCACTGGACTTGAAGTGGGCTCCTATCAGCAATGTCTTGCTTATCACTTCCTCCACATGCTGTGACTGTGCCACATAAAATACCAACTGTGATTTTTGGATGACATCGCTGTCATGGGCTCTAACTGGCCAAACAAGCCGGATTGAAAAACACGCAAAGCTTGACGTGAAGCAGGGGAGAAAGGGTAAATTGGGCATTACCGTAATGCGTCAATATTCTCCAGTCACACTTTCCTCCCTCAGTTTGGCTACAGCGCCTCGGGCAAAAACCCCCGCTGTGATGTTGAAGCGGCCTGTAGTCACACGCAGTTGATCTCTCACTCTCTAATTGGTGGCGTCTGTGGCGACAGTGTGCATCTGACACCTGTTTTTACCAATTAGCAGATGCAAAACTCTCCAGCCGACACCTCGCCGCATGTCTCTGCCACATGCTAACAGATGCGGCAATTAGGGGTTCGTTTTCAACACTGCAGCAGTGTGATCACATCATCATTTCATGTTAATAACGCTTCAAATTGAACCCAATATTGTGAAATCACATGAACGTTGATGTGCCGACTCTGCTGAGCGATCCTTCGTGAAATTTGCACTCTTCCACTTGTGGCAAATTATAATTTTTGTACACATATAAAACATGAGATGATCATGTCAACTACAATTGCGAATATTGAGGGGAATCTGTCACCAAGCTTACACATACTCTATTGCAGATTACTAAAGAATGACAAATGGTACAAAAGAAAAAAAAACTAAAGAAAGAAGAGAGTCTAATATTTCTTTTGGTAGGTTTCTTGTCTATATAACCATCGAATACAATATTTTGTGGGCCTTCAAAGATAGCTCAAACTCCTCTAAAATGTCGGAAACTCAGGGAATTTGCTCTGCTACAAATGGCTGGCGTTAAATGAGTTAAATTTCGATGTCAAATGGGCCGCAAAATATCATCCTGTGGGGCCGCAGTTGGCCCCAGGGTTCCAATCTGAGACTCTTGGTAGAGAGGCATAGCACTGCACAACACCACAGCGTCTCCTACCTACCCAGGAGAGGCTGTGTACATGCGGTGAACATCTGTATTTTTTTCTTTTTGGCAGTCTTCCATGGGCCGGACCAACATGCTTGGCGGGCCTGATCTGGCCCCCAGGCCTCCAGTTGAATAGGACTTCTCTAATGCATTAACTATTTTTAATAGTCCAAATCAGCCTGGGATCACTTAGTCACCCTTAAACATTAATATGATCTTGCTCGGCACTTTACATACCAAGTAGGCGAAATGAAGTACGGTAGTTCACACACGAGCACATTTGTGTGGAATCAAAATGAAAACGAGAGTGCTGAACCAATACGAGTGAGTGGCTACTCAGTGAAAGTACAGGGCAGCTCAGTACTCTTGGGAGCCTCGTAATCCCGGTCAGCTGCCTGCTAAGAAACAGTGGTTCTCACAGGCGAACATCATGTGAGCGCATGTGAGCGGGGTTGAGTCTACGACACGCCTCCGGGCTGCGAAGCCCGAGCTGCAGCAGGAACTCGGCAAACGCCACAGTATACCAACCTATTGGTTCTAGAAACAATAACACAATATGGTCCTGTGTTGCATTATCAAACAATATCTGCAGTGTGTATGAGTGCTCTGGAGTTCAACAACACAGCTGTCCTCTCAGCGCATCACATGGTGCCCGCACACGCCGATTTGCATTGCGCCGAGCATCAAGTGCTCAACGTGAAGCCAGAATGGGGTGTAACATACTGGAAACATATGCCGCAGGCATAAAAGCTAAGAGGAGAAAGTGGCCAAGGCTATAGCATGTACACATTACTGTCCTGGTAATCAGTGATGACGGTAATGCATGAACAAGTCATACGTTATTTGCAACGTGGAGTATCGGTGTAACACGTTACTTCTGAGACTGGCAATCGTTGACCAATAATCAGCTCCCCGCAATCAATGTTTAGGGTGAAGGCTAAATATACTGTTAGCATCCAATGAAGTATCACGGCAAATACCATTTTTAAAAATTGAGTCAGTGTTTGCAGGTGACGAATTAAGTAACAAGTAAGGAAGTTGGTTTTAATATCAAGTCATGAGTAAAGTAAGTTACTTTTCAAAAGAACTGTGACAAACACCGCTGGCTACTCAGTACAACATGTCATAAGCGATGACTAAAAAGACCATTTCATCCCTGTTGCTGGAGGTGTCTGCTGATTTTTTTATTTTTATTTTTTTGGTTGTAGTTTTTGTTTTGGCAACTTAATCCTCAAGTGTGTCACTTGACTATGGGTCCACACATCTGAATGACTCCTTTTCTTGATTTGTCATGGTTGTAACTTCTCCTTTTCCGGATATGACTGTCCTCAAACTCCAACAGTCCTCCAGTTAGCATGGCGCCGCGCCACCTGTTGCTTTGTAATGCACATGGTGGTGTGTAAATTAATTTTCATGCGGAAAGAGATTTTATTCATTTCTCACAGGCGTTAATTGGTCTAATCTAACCCTTTTTCTGTTAAAATTACCCATAACAACACAAGTATGAAATGTAAACACCACGGGTGTGACAAATAATACCCTACTGTATTTGAATCAGCCCATTTGGCAGTGCATCGAATCGACCCATATCGAATCATTCCACTTAAAAATATATTGAAGTACATATCGAATTTTCCATTGGAGAGAAATATCTTTGAAGGAAATGCCACTTACACAGTAACCTACCGATAAGTTAGTTCATTCATATTGTATAATGACGACAAGAAGCTCACTGTATAATACTCTCTCGAACTGAGCCGTGCCTTAACTGAATGCAATTGTAATCCCACCAAATCAAACGCAATTTTTCCCGGAAATGACTGTCCTCAAACTCCAGCAGTCCTACAGTGAGCCGCGCCGCACCACCTGTTGCTTTGTAATGCACTTGGCGGTGTGCAAATTAATTTTCATGCAGAAAGAGATTTTATTCATTTCTCATAAGGCGTTAATTGGTCGAATCTAACCCCCTTTCTGTTAAAATGACCCATAACAACACAAGTATGAAATGTAAACACCACGGGTGTAACAAATAATACCCTACTGTATTTGAATCAGCCCATTTGCCAGTGCATCGAATTGACCCATATCGAATCATTCCACTTAAAAATATATTGAAGTACATATCGAATTTTCCATTGGAGAGAAATATCTTTGAAGGAAATGCCACTTACACAGTAACCTACCGATAAGTTAGTTCATTCATATTGTATAATGACGACAAGAAGCTCACTGTATAATACTCTCTCGAACTGAGCCGTGCCTTAACTGAATGCAATTGTAATCCCACCAAATCAAACGCAATTTTTCCACCTCAAAATAAAGCCTCCTTGAGTCGTACTCCACCCCATGTATTGCGCTACGTATCAAATCGACTTTTATTGGAAAGATGCACAGTATGGAGCCTGAAATACAATCAATAAATATGTCCATAAAATCACTTTACAGTTGAACATATTTATTGCTCTTTTTTGTTTGTTTGTTTGTTTGTTTGTTTGTTTGTTTTTTTTGGTGAAGTGAGTTTATGGACACCCTGGCTGTCTCCATCATGAAGTTCTCGATTTATATTCATTTTCAGAGACACTGCGAGTCCAACTTCCTCATTTTCTTAGAGCAGGTATGTGAAGTACGTAATGGAACAAAAAAACAGGTTCCACCAAGGTAAGAAACAAGTTCGAGAGGAAATAGCTGTGCCTTATCGTGTTACAGTACAGTATATCGTAATGCCGACAGTTTGGGATTTTGGTTTTCAGAATAGAATTTTGATTGCAGATTCTACACCGATTAGTCCTGTATTAAATATTCATTAGTCAAGAGTGTAATAATTATGAGGTATCTCAGAAAAGTTCCTGGACTGATGTCACAAAATAGTTTCGAAAGTTAAACTGCAAGTTTCCTCCTTCAACTAATCCCCCTGGAGTCTAAGGCTAGGTTCACACTGTAGGTTAATTTGGAATTCCAATTTTGTATGTGTGTGTTGAGATTCACATTACATACGGTCGAACCTCGTTTCAACATAGCCCGTTTACAACATAAACATAAGAAGATCGCGTTGAACAAAAAATCCGAATTGGGCATCACACAGTGTGAACGTGGCCTTAAGCACTTTCCCAGTCTTCTGTGACATGGCTTCATGCAATTTTGGAAGGATTCTTCCAGGATCCGCCGCACCTCCATCGTCGCAGTCATTTTATCCACGTCTTCAAAATGGGTCCTTGTGATAAAACCCTTGAGTTTGGGAAGGAGTATTTAAAAAAGAAATAAATAAAATAAAAATCACCCAGATCTAGAGCTGGTGAGTTGGGAGGTTGTCCCAGCATGGTGATTTCTTGTTGGCAAAGAATGGTCAAATGCTCTGGGCATTGTGACTCGTTCTCATGATGAAGCAGCAACAAGTTTTGCTTTTTTTTCAACTTACTTCTCACGCTCTGTCCGAAACAAACGCTCCAAGAGCTCTTTATCAACGCAACGCGCTGGTTGAACATCCGGCTCACACCAAAGGGTAGCATGGGCTTTAATATCTTTTGTGACACAAGTACTGGAACATTTATGACAAACATTGTACATTTACAGCAGTATTTGAAATTCCTATGTAAAAACTCACTGGCAGGCAGTTACATAATATGAATTGTTAAATCAATAAAGTTGTTCCCTGCAGTATTAAGAGATTGAACAGATCGTAGGTATCTGTACTTGTATTTATTTTACTTTTTCCTGTATGCCATGGAAATTTGTGAGACTTATTACTTTTCTCAACCTCTGAGGATGACGATGCAACAGAAAGAAAACAAAACGCTGACAGAAAGCAGAAAAGTCCATCGTGTTTGAGATTAATTGAATGACAGCAATTGAGGAATAGGAACCACGGATCATTAATAATGAGAGTGAAAGATTCCGAGAAGCAAGATATTCCCCATCCATGTTCTTATTTATGTTGCATGTTGTCTGAAACAAAATGTTTTGATTTTGAAAGTCGAGCCAACAGCCAGGTCTTGCTTTCAAACAAACCAACAAAATCTTCTCAGGACTACGTAAATTGGTAATATGGAGAAAATAAATTGTATACAGTTGAGTTCCGTTTTTCCTTTAGGGATTGTGTATAACCGACAGTAAAACAAATTATTAACGTTTGCATTTTATGCAGGTGCATGGGTTTTGTACTTTTTTTTTAAACACAGCAATACAGTATCTCTCCTACCAACTGCTTCCTGGTAGCAGAAACAAGCTATATAATGCAAACGTGTTGAGTATTTATTTTAGAGATCAAATACAGGAACAGCTTAAGCGACATTACCTGTTGTCCGGGTGTGCCAATCATCATTTCCATGTAGTAGCCTCTGCCGGAGTCCCCTTGCAGGTTGCCCACCATGTCCATAAAGTTGACTTGACCGCTCGGGTCGGAAGCCAGAGAGAGACCCTTCCCATCAGCAGCGAGCGCGACGAGGCGAGTGACAGACAAACGCATCGCCGAGGACACGTTGTACTTCCCCGGGTAGATTTTCAGAGGTATGGACACATAACTCTTGGCCACGCCGATGAGGCAAACGCAGCAAACAAATGTCAAAATAGGATTGTAGGCGCAGTATGCCATAGTACTGCTGTTTTCCAAATGTAGAGGCCAAATCTGGGTGGGAGAAATTCCAGGTACAAAAGTTTCAAAGTTTGGCTCCTAAGTTTGTAGTTCAGCCATTACTGAAACGCCATCATTGCCGACTTCTGTACGCCAAGTAGAAACAGTTCACGTCGTCATAATGAAATGCGGCCGAGTCGACGTTTAAAACTGTAGGGAAAGGGAAAAGGAAATTTATAGATGCTTCGCCCTTTTGCGAGGAACAGGCTTCGATAAAAATAGTTGACTACTTCCGGTCTACCCCTTCAAAATAAAAAAAAATGCTAATGTGTTGGACGGGTAACCAACCTTGAAAATGAGACCTACTGGTGAATGCGAAGGGTCATCACACGCTTCTGAAATAATCACGCTGAAATGAACTTTAATAATGGCATTATTTTATGTTATTGTTAATAATGAATGACAGATGATGGGTGGATATTCAGTCGTGAAAACACTGATCATATGAATGATTCCTTATAGTAATTAGATAACAAATAAATATAAATTATGCAGCTCTGTATTTTTGATAAATCTCTGCTAGTGCGCAGGTTCTCAAATGATCGCCTCTATCCACATTCCTAGACAATCACGATATCTCATCACTGGTAAGCTATCTTTAGAACATATCCAAAGGCTACTCATCAGGTCACATTGGTGACTCCCGATGTATTTAATTCCAAAAGGGAAGCAAAATGTATCCAAATAAGTTACAGACTTTATACAATAGAAGGGAGTACATTAAGACAAGCCACGATATTCTGTTTTCGATATAACTGACTAAAAATAATCTACTCAACCACAATGAAGAACCTTGGTGAGTTTTACTTAATTATTTTTTTTAAGTTGTTATGGGTGCTGAGCCAGTTCAAATTGTATGTCTTTTTTTTCTGGAGTCAAAGTGGCGTAATCCTTCTTCAGCAAACTCAACCTGATTTCCTGTTTGCCTTGAGTCAGACACTAAGCCAAACCATGTGATTGAACTCACGCCACATCTCGGGCTGGTTGGAATTAACACGCCTACAGACAACACAATTTGCACAAGTATGGTTTTAAACCAGTGATACTTTTAAAGAGGCTTAAAAAATAAATTGCGACACAATTTTGTTTCACATTTTCACTCATGGTGACTCCTTCATTTTTTCCCAGCTATTTAAAAAAACATTTTCACAAACCGTAATTTGATCAATAACGGTGAAAACATTCATTGAACTGCCAGGCAGGAGGCTGACAGGAAGACCAAAGAGGAGGTTTATGGATGTAGCGAAAGAGGACATGAAGGTTGCTGGTGTGAGAGAAGAGGATGCACAAAAAAGGGTTAGATGGAGGCAACTGATTATGTGGCGACCCCTGAAGGAAAAGCCGCAAGGAAAGGAAGAAGAAGTAGAACGGTTAAAATGTTCTCCATTGAATTTCATTTTGAAAATCAATTCATTTTACTGATATTGAGTATTCGTGACATGATCATGTTCTGTTATTGTCGCTACGTGCGCAAGCACTCGCGAAGCATTTGCCGCTCAGTGAGAAAACTGCACCGCAAATAAAACGTTATTTCAAGCCTTGTAGTAGTTTGTCAACCGTACGTCTTCATACACTAACTTTTGTTGGTCTCCAAGCTTATAACTTCTAACAAATAAAGATGTTTATCTTATTTTTTTTCGACAATTTCTGTCATTCATCTTTACTCAGATCTTTAGACATGGTGGTAATGCAAATCCTTATCGTTCAGAGGGTTTTTTTTTAATGCGGAAAAATGCTTAGTTAATGAGGCTCGTAGTGGTTAATCAAGATCAATGTCACAGGCCTTACTGATGGAAAGTCTTTCCATACTTATATGTGATGTCTTTGTTTATAGAAGTTGCAATACTAGGGTAGCTCATACTTCCAGAGACAGATTCCTTGTGTGTTTTACATACTTGGCCAATAAAGATGATTCTGATTCTTTTTCTATGCTGTCTGTTCCTCACAGAGACATCCACTGTGTCTCGATGAATTCCTCAGAAGTCCGCCGTTTGACTTGTCACATGTTCACCGTCGTCTTGCTCACTCTCTGGACTCAAACACCATGTTCGTAATCTCAATAATACAAGGAAAGGCTGTGATGTTTTTCCTGTGTAGTGCTTGTCTTGCATTGATCGGGTCTTGTGAATGAAAGAATTTAAGCATACTTCCTGCCTAATTCCCGTGATTTTGTCGTGTTTTCATGGTTTCCGTGAAAACATCAAAATGAAAGGAAATGCATTGCTTCCTTCTTTTACTAAGCACGGAACACATGATCTGACGTTTCATCATGGTTGTGTGCCTTTTCGGCTCCAAAAGGCTTTGCCCTACGCGCTCTTCACTATAGTTCACTCATTTTTTTATGTGGGGGCAGCACAGTGAAGTTGTGGTTAGCAAGTATGCCCCAGAGGTCGTGGGTTAAAATTATGTGTCTGTCACATGAGGAACAAAATTTGCACCCAGAGGCAGACAGAACACAGAAACTGAAAAAAAAGTCTTTATATACAAAATTACACAGTAACAACTGAGAGCTATACAGTCTTTGTCTTCATTATATCGTCTTTACAATACTATATACCGTACTGTAATATTATGGTAATATTATCTAATATTCTATTCGACACAAAATTGTTCAAAATGTAATCAGGGATTATGATGAAGTCAGAATAAGTGAATGTGATTATCCCTGTGAGAGTGACATGAGGATTTGCTTTGATAAATTTGCTTGCAATTCCATGGGTGACCACAACAAGGCACTCTACTCCATTCTTAAGCCTCAAGTGTTGCAGTGGCATCTGTGGATGAGCAAATTAGGCTGGTTAGGAGAAGCAGTGGCCCTCCATGTGGCAGTGCAAATCTTCTTGACTAGGACATTGGTGCTTAATCCTGAGCTCTGATCATTAACGTTGATGAGAGAGGAGGAGAGTGGGCTGCATTTTCTCATGTGCTTGGCCCTAAACAACACAACTAGTACTTCATCTTGTTTTGCACTCGAGTAATGTTAAAATGAAGAATTATGGAATATTTATTTCCTCAACTAAATGTCCCACAATAATATGAGTCATTTGTGAGCCACATTGCCTTCAAATTGGCTGGCGACCGGTCCAGTGTGCTGTGCTTCTCGCACGAGTCAACTGGTAAAGGCTTCAGCTCATCTGCGACACAAGTGAGGACAAGCGCTACAGATTTTCGTACAAATGATGCTCTCCGTTGTTACAGTCAATAATTTCTCTCCTTAATCCATGCATAATCAATTCTGTAAAAGCAAGCTGTCACGGCACATGCTGCCTGAACGAGGGGTTGTTAAATTAATTTTCCAAATAAATGGCCTGAATCATTAAGATGCTATCGGAGTGAGGCCCAATTAGCCTTAGCAGCAAAGGAAGCAAATCTGGACTTTCTCCTAATGCGGAGGGCCTGTCTCAAATAAAATGCACAAACAGTTGGTCTCGAAAATCTCACAGCTTTAACATGCAAACAGAATTGTGATTTGTTTTCAGCTCCTTTAGAAATGTTTAGAATGTTTTTTTTGTAGCTCTTTCTCAAGAAAAATACATCCAGAACATGAAACTGTTCAAACTGACAAGAATAAGAATACGAAAACCTTTATTTGTCTCACAATGGAGAAATTCCCAATTTACAGCAGCAAAATGATGAAAGGGATCTATAAAATATGTCTATTACCTATAATATTAAACAATTCTTTTGGACAGGTTTATTGTCAGTGTTGCCTTATTTTAGCGCCACAAAGAGATGTGTCCTGCGTTGTCCCCAGAAATCCAATCGCTGCTGTTAACGCTGATCTCAGATTTGCCGAATGTGCATTTTACTGCGATAACTGCAAGCAGAGTCATTATAACATGGGAATTACTGGGCTGGGTGAACGAAATTTAATTATAATGATATGCCTTATGCTTCTGACTTAAATTACATTTTTCTATCCAGTTTGATTGGTTTGAATTAACACGCTTTGCATCCATACACGGCGGCATGGTGGGCGACTGGTTAGCACGTCTACCTCACAGCGCAGAGATACAGGGTTCGATTCTGGCTCCGGCCTTCCTGTGCGGAGTTTGCATGTGCCTGCGTGGGTTTTCTCCGGGTACTCCGGTTTCCTCCCACATTCCAGAAACATGCACGGCAGGCTGATTGAACACTCTAAATTGTCCCTAGGTGTGAGTGTGAGCGTGAATGGTCGTTTGTCTAAATGTGGCCTGCGACTGGCTGGCAACCAGTTCAGGGTGTCCCCTGCTTACTGCCCAAAGATGGCTGGGATAGGCTTCAGCATTTCCCCGCGAACCTTGTGAGGATAAGCGAATCAGAAAATGGATGGATAGATGCATCTATATACTCATTAGTATGTGGTCTCCATGTCATATGTTAAAAAAATGCATTTGAGGATTCCGGTTTATTCAAAGTCTCTCACTTTCTATTGACGCGCAGTGTGTTCTTCATAACGAGCTGTCTCTCCCACAGCCCAGGCTGACTAACAAGGTGCTTGTACTCAACTGCTGCCGGAAAGTAGTTCAAATGAGGAGAACCCGGAAAGAATATAAGTAGGACAGGCCAAACAACACATGCGCTTGCTCATTTACTGCTACCACGTTCTATTATTCCGAACTGGATCTAATTTACCGTAGTATTCCTCATTTACCAGATCATTTACTTATTAAAGAATGACAACTCTGCGTTGTGATTCTGTCCGAGTAAGCGCAATGGCACCTGTGAGTCTTGCAGGCGAGCCACACAAACATCCACGCATGATAGTGGTGTTACATTTGTGCTGTGTATCTGTATCTGCTTGTTCATTCATAGGATAAGCATTAGTGACATGAAGATGAGTCATTGAGGCTAGCACCATAACAGGCCGCCATGGGATTCAGGATCGCTGCCACCCTGCTGCTTGTTGCCTCAAGGCACTACTCATGCCCTCACCAGCCTGCCTTGTTACTGTAATGCTGCAACACGCACGTGCCACACGCGCGCACACGCACACACACACGTACACGCGCGCACACACACGCGCAGATGCCATCTGTGTTTGTTCAGACCCACCTGATGCGTTGGGTGCCTCGGAGCAGATGTTGCTGTGGTAGTGGACTGTGAAGCTGTGACTGTTCTCATTAGAGTTCTCTGCTTTAGGTGCAATGTCTGTATTTTCTACACGTACATGAGACTGTTAATGTATTTATGTCGAAAGGCCTGGAAGCCAAAGAATAAAAGTGTGTTTTAAGAGGAGTTCTTACAATG